CCCTCTCAGGTATTGCTGAGGTCTCGTGTCGCTGCGTGCGCGGGCCCGGCCCGGAGCCGTCGCGCGGGGCCGCGGCGGAGGAGAGCCCCGGGAGGCGGCCGCCGGCCCGGCGCCCCGCAGTAAGTCCCCGGGACGCCTCTCGGGATCGCGGCCCCGCGGCGGCCCGGAGCGGGGCGCGGGGCCGCCCTCCCCCGGCCGCCTCCGGCTGCGCGCCCGGGGAGCGCCTCCGGCGCGGCCACAGCCATTTTGTTGTCCGAGCGCTGCCCGGGCCGTGGTCGTGTGTTGGCAAATGGTTTTCGTGGGGCTGGGGTGTGGGGCTGCCTTGCGGCACTCGGGAGAGCTGTCGGTCCCGGCCCTCTCAGGTATTGCTGAGGTCTCGTCTCGCTGCCTGCGAGCCGCGGGACCCACGCATGCACCTTATTCTAGGCCTGTGTCATTGCTGGCTCATTGCTTCGCTGAGGTAAGAATAGAAAATGCGCATCTGTGAAAAACACACGCCTGTGGAAAATACTTGACTCGATACATCTAATTCACATAAAGGAATTACAGTGTTAACCTACTGCTCGCACCTATAAAGCCACACGCAAACACTGCTGAAGGTTTGGTTGCATTTAGGCAGCCCTGCCGAGGAAACACGTAGCATCCTTCCTGCTGCTGTTCGGGGCTGTGGGCAGTGGAGAGCCCAGCCCTTCATCTGGGGGTGCTGAGGGCCTCCCGCCATCCCTTCCCCACTACCTCTCTCTCCCCAGCTAAGTTATGACCCTTTGTCACCGTTTCCATTCCAACCCATTGTGGGTTATGGGACTGTGCTGAAGCAGAGCATACAATTACTTTAGACTAAAACATAAAATAGCACGTAGCGCTGGCTTAAGGGTTGCAGCAGTGGCCAGAGGGGCAGAACAAGAGCTGCTGAAGGCAGCAAAGCAGGCTGGAGAAGAGTATGTGGTACTGCAGCCTGAAACAGGTTTAAGTACTTTTTTTACTATTTTATGGAGACTGGGCTCTTGCAGCACTGAAATGGATAAACATTTTGGGCAAAGGACAATCAGCTTTGCCCCATATATGCTGTTAACAGACAGTATTAGATACAGACAGCATTTACACTCCACCTTTCCCAAAAAGTAGCTGGAATACACAAGCCCCATCACTAATATCTGGAGGCAAGCCTAAAATCTTTCATACCATATGGCCTGGCCAGAGTGCCTCCAGTCATGTAACGCTAGCTGCAAGAAATGACAGGAACACAATTAAAACAATCAAAGAAGCAGAGAGCTCGCCAACGTATGCCTCAAAAGAAAACCAGTCAATCGCAGCAGGCTTGTTAGCAACCAGCATGGAGCAGGCATGAGGTGTATGACCTTAGATACATTACACATAGAACTTTCAACCTATCATGGTTGTGCCATGATAGGAAGCCTTGATGAGATCTATCCTGGAATATTAGGTACGATTCTAGTCAACAGTTTAAATTAACCTTCTAAGAAAAAAAGTAAGGAAGCATTATTGGAATGATCAGAGGAATTAAAAGTCTGTCATATGAAAATAACCTGATTTAGTCTAGCAAAATTCATCTGGAAATGGTTAGATTTATATTTTTAATTATGAGAACACATAATCAGCAGCAGTGAAGAAAAATAAAAAGAACAAATAGGCATAAACTGCTTATGCTGAGGTTGAAAATTGGAAGGTTTCCATTAATGAATGAGCTATAGAACAGTTACATGGGAAAATAAGAGACTGGACTTGACGACTCTGAATAAAAATATTCCTATTTTTCAATTTTCATTGAACAATCGTTATAATGCTCGAATATTTCCTGATTTCTTTCTTAATACTAGCAAAGCACCCAGCTGTTTTTGTTCCTGGCAATGAAAATAAGCAACTGTTTGAAAGTAAAATACCTCACAGTCCTGATTTTAGTAGCATATTAAAATTAAAAAAAAAAAAAACCAAAAACCCAAAACCCGCAATCCGTGTTTATAACAAATACAACTTCAGTTAGGAATAGCAAGGTGAAATTCCTTGAGAGCAGCAATAAATGCCATGAAGTTAATGGTCAGCCATGTTTGGCATTTGTGCTTGAACTGACAGCAAGGTATTTGAACAAAAGTCTTTGACAACAGCCAGATAGATTTGTAATTAAAGAAATTGCACAGCACAGCTTTACACAGTGATGTCCTGTGAACACAAAATGGATATATCAGAGAGAAGATTCAAAAGGAAGATGTGAGTACCCAGGAAATTCCCACCAATGAAAACCAACAGAGATCTCAGGGAGGTACATAATGCCAAACATCTAACTAATATTAAACACTGCCACAGGATGCGCAAGCAATAAAGCAGCTCCTAACCACGCAGCTGAGAAAAAGGGGAGGGTATAGGGGGAAGCTATTTAATACAAGCTGCCACAAACCAAGCAAAAGAAGTGAAGAAACTTTCCAACTTTAACACATGGCACTAATCTACATGCTGCTCACCATGACATACTGCAGATCTACAGTCTAGGCTCTAACCGAAACAGACCATATGAAAAGAAATTAGCATAAAATCAAAGATGCAAGATGCACCAATTTTTCTTAAAAAGAAACAATCCAATGATTCACAGTTTGAGGGAAACATTTTGAAAGCCCTCCCCAAGGAATTCTTCCTCCTCTCTACCATATGTATTCAAGAACAACATTATCGTTAAACAAATGATTCCTCAATCATTAGAACAGTTAGGTCCGACCTTCCAATGATCACTATTTTTTGTTTGGAAAGTGCAAGTTCTGCTTTGATTAAGTCTACACTTCCCTTATGTTCTGTACCAAGGAATGACCCCCATTCCCAGGTAAACTGCAGATGGATTTGTCTCCATCGGCTTGTAGGGTGCCAGCACTGCAGAAAAGCAGCTTCTGGTCTATGCTAGGCTTGCTCCCCAGGAGTGCTACTTCACTGTGAGACTGAAGGACAGTGTGTGCAGCATGGATGGTAGTGCAGTGAAATAGGAAGATGGGCGACCTGACATTAGAGAAGCTTCTCATGTGGTGAATTTGAACGTGGGCTGCAGCTTTACACTGAAAAGTGTGCTCAAATGCTTTCTTCTTTCCTCATCCTGGCATCTGCTTTCAAAGCATTTGTAGAAAGACAATTGTATTTAAGACTTTCAGTCCTGTTCCAGTTTAGCATCAATAATGAATCCAGAAGTTATGGATGGAGAAGAAAGAAGAGAGGGAAAGGCACAAACATTTTGTCACTGAAGCCTTATTTCCATAGGAAACGAATAAAGAAAACATGCATGAAAGTGCAGATAAAACACCCTCCATGTTTCTTTTCCACCTGCACACCAGTAGTTAAAAGTTAAATTCTTTTATGAACAAATCACTCTGCCAAAAAGAAGTATTTCAGTCAGTCAGGAGACATGTTTCTGTCCCTCTCCAGTCCCTGTGGAATTGTATGTTTGTTTCAGCTTCAAAGAAGGGGCTTCTCTTACTATGTGTTTTTCAAAGTTTAATGTAATGCAGCCTTGATCTTGGTAGCTGCCTCTAAATATTGCAGCAATCTAATCATTACACAGAGTAACAAAGAAAACTGTAAGCAAATTAAGGCCTTTAAGTAACAAGCATCAAAATACAGATGAAACTTTAACACAAATCTTTTTAATCCATGTATCACTGATCTATAATATGACAAACTCCAAATGCAAGCTTTCTACTGCAAGCAGGAGATAAAAGTTGTATGTTTCTATATATACTTAATAGAATTGAAAAAAACTTTGTAAAATAAGAGGAAAAGTTATGGCATTGAGAAGAAAGTTGAGACCCAATCTTTGGTTTATATGGAGATCAATTCAACATTTCTCTAATTTTCATTATCTAAATTGTAAGAGAAAGCAAAACAGAACAGCAGTTCTCACATATGGCTGTCAGAAACATCACATGTAATCGCTATGTACAAATAATGACATGATTGCATTTCAGCTCTGCTATCATATACTGAGAAAATACCATGAGGTTGCTGAAGCTGCATGTGCAGTCACAACAACAACAACAATTTGTGAACCTCTGCTTTAAATCTTGTGTACCTGACAATAAGTGCAGCAGATGGCTTTAAACTGGCTACAAAAGTATTACAAAAAACAGCTGGATAAGGCTTCGCTATCATAACAAGATTATAAACATATGATGTTCTTGTGACAAAATCATTATGATTTAAGCAGCTTGGCAAGAGATTCATTAGTACTTCTCAGAATCCTATTTTACAATGGATTTTCCACAATGGTGGTTTTATCTTACATAGCAGAAATTATTATATAGCAGACAGCTTTATGAACCCAGGTATCCACTTCGGTGGGAAGGGAACAGCAAATGAATCTCAAGGATTTCTTGAAGACTGTCAGTGACAGAGTTTGCATAGGAAAAGCCCCATCAAACCAACTGGCTGTCAGTTACAAAAGTACAGAAACTTCGGTTCTCTTCCAGGATCTCAAGAAGTGTTAAGCTAATTCATTTGCTGAGGTGTACAAATGATTTTTAAAGTTTATTTTTACACTCTTGCTAATTGTAGTCTATAGATTATCAATTTATAGTTAGGCTTACTTTCCACTGCGGATAATGAAATTTCTCATTACAAAATCTCCATCTCAGGGGAAGTGATACCAGAGAAGTTTGGACTGAGAAAGTGCAAAACCCACAGATAACCCTGTCTTTCTGTCCTGAAACCGATTCTGAAACTTTTCTGCAGTGCAGCATCCTGGTCTATGCTATAATTACAGTAGCTAAATTAATTAAGCAAAACGGATATCTAAAAAATCCTACATTGAGTTTTCTGCAAACAGATGCGTGTAGGATTGTCATTAAAACATCTCAGCACATAGCAAAACAAATGTGAGAGCCACTTTGACCCACTCCCTACAGCCACACTGTTGCCAGAAGTTCACTCTGTATGGTTTGGGATCACCTCATGGTCTCAGAAGGTGTCTCAAACAGTATGTGACTGCCATCACAAAAGCCTTTAGCTAGAAAACTGGATTAAACAGACACTTATAGCAGAGAAATCTATTTTAATATCCCCTGAAATAACACAAGAAACAAAATTCTAAATTAAGCTTTTGGTTCCATCTTAGCCAAAGAAGCCAGCACCTTCAGAAAAAGAAACAGTAAAAAAAATGGAGAACTGAGAAAGAATTTCTAAGTGAGCGTATAATTTATCTTACATACCACCACTCGTATCCCAACGAAAGGTATTTCTCAAACAAGTGCTGCAAATTGCTGCACCCCAAATGAAAAACAATGCTTGGAGCACTGTAGCAGCAATGATCAGATGAAAGGGGAAATATGAAGAAAGGTATATTACACAGAACTATGCACAGAAAATGCATAGTACATTGCCTTATTACAGTGAACAGTGGAGAATTTAAAGAAAAATATGACCAAAAAATGGCTGTGAAGTAGAAGTGGAAATCAACAGTTACTGCACATTTCTAACCCAAGAGAGTTATGCAAGCAGTGTGAAAAATAAATTGTACATCCTTCTGTTCCAGTGTCTAAAAGCCTGCTCTAAACAATTTTGCTCACATATTGGTTGTAGTTTAAGTGCATTAGCACGGCACTGTACTGCAGCTAATTTATCCCACTCTTCAAGAGAACAATTTATCTTACCTACCATATTACCATAGCTGGATTTTCTCTAACATCAAGGCTAGCAACGCTGCCATTGTATCTCTACGTGGGACTTGTGTCCCATGTTGTGCAGGCATGCATCTTCCCTGGATACAGGAACTTACCAATTGCTTGTGAGAAGCAAAGCAGTATGTTTCGTATTTTTCTGTTAGGGTTTCAGTTTCAACCAGGAGTCTCTGACAGTTCAGTTCAGACCCATCTTCCTTACCAGTATTTTAACTCCCATGAGAATATTCCCCATGTCCTGGCTTCCACCAAACACCTGAATATCTCAGCAACATGGTACAACCCATATCGAAAGTGATCTCAAAGTCACTTCTTAAAACATGCTAGGTCCATGTTCTAACATTCCATTAAATGGATTTATAGTGAGAAAAGTAGGGTTATAGCAGGTCAGGGAAGCACATTGGTTGCAGAATATTGGGAGCTAGATTTTTAACAATGTGGCTATTTGGGAAGATGAGATATATGAATGACAGGTCAAAAAACTATGGGGTGGTTTGGATTTGAAGGGATCTGAAGGATCATCTAGTTCCAACCCCCCTAGCATACACCAGATCAGGCTGCCCAAAGCCCCATCCAGCCTGACTTGGAACATCTCCATGGATGGAGCATCCACAGCTCTGAACAGCCTGTTCCAGCACCTCACCATCCCAGTAGTGAGTAACTTCTTTCTCTTGTCTATTCTAAGTCTACCCTCTCAGTTTAAAGCCCTTACCCTTACATCTTGTCCTATCACTATCTGCCCTTGTAAAATGTCCCTCTCCAGTTTTCCTGTAGACCCTCTTTAGATAATGGAAGTCTGCTAAATGATCTCCCCAGAGCCTTTTCCAGGCTGAATAAACCCAACTCTCTCAATCTGTCTGCATAGGAGAGGTGTGCCAGTCCTCTGATCATTCTCATGGCCCTCCTCTGGAATTGCTCCAACAGTTTGTTGTCCTTCTTAGGTTGGGGGACCCAGAGCTGAACACATTAGTCCAGGTGGGGTCCCACAAGTGTGGAGTAGAGGGACAATAGCCTCTCTTGACCTGCTGGGCACTCTTCTTTTTGGTGCAGCCCAGGATGTGGTTGGCTTTCTGGGCACACAGTGTCAGCTCGTGTTGAGCTTCTCATCAGCCATCATGCCCATGTCCTCCTCAGGGCTACTCCCAATCCATTTTCCACCCAGCCTTTACTTTTGCTAGGGATCACCCCAACCCATGTTCAGGACCTTGCGCTTGGCATGGCTTGGCATTCATGAACTTCATGAAGTTCCTAGGAGCCCATCTTTCAGGCCCATTTTAAAAATGGGGGCTGTTTTTCCTTTTGTATCTCATCAGGTCCCATGGGCTTCTGCACCTTTAGATTCCTCAGTCTTGAACCTGATCTTCACTATAGTGGGTGGGTCTTCATCCTCCTAATCCCTGCCTTCAGATTCTGTTACTTGGGCAGAGACTTGACAGACTAAAATTGCATTTCTCTATATTGACAGGTACCCAGAAAAGACCGCAGTGGAATTGTTTCAAAACAGTGGCAGTGCATGAGTCACAGTGCTTCTTGAAATTATGATGTGTATTTATCATTAGTGCAGCAAAAATCACTTGTATTTTACTTATTAAATATTCATCTGTTTGAGTTTTTTTTTAAATAGTTTCTTGGTAAATAACATCAATTCTAATATTTTTGAGGGCCTTATGCAAAGTAACCTCTTAACCATGCAGTCAGGACAGAAAAGATGAAACTTGTACGAGTTCTCTGTGTTTTTGAAAGGCTTGACAAAGTTGTTGAGATTTTGCAAGATGAAAATACTCGGGGGTGGAGACCATTACCTTGTCTCAACATTAAGTCTGCATTCAAGCAGCTTGCTCCTTTCCTAAGCCTTGCTCTCAAAATACTTTTGTAAATAACAAGAACCACAAAACACAGGTCCCCAAAGATTTTCACGCTTTTCTCATGAGGTAGGCACAGAAATATATTAGAAACAAAGCTTTCCTGTTGAATAATGCATATGATCACTCCTCATTCACTCACACACTTGTGCTTGCTATCCCAGCGCTGTGTTGGCAGCACATGGCACAACAGCAACTTTACTGTGCCTCACTCGATGGATCATAATTGATTTTCTTCCACTCCTTCTCAGTGTAGATGTCATATTTATCCTTATTGTATCCTTCTTTCTCCCAGACCTACGCCTTCTGAATTGTTCCCTCTTCTCTGTCACTTTTACCCTGAACACTACAGATTAGGTTTTCCTCTCCCATCAGATCACTCTCATGAAATGCTATCTTCGGGTCTCTAACTGCCTTCCCACTTGGGCCCAGCTATCTTGACAAACACTGACATGTCTTTTAATATTCCCTGACTTGTTTTTTATCCCCTGCTTTGCAGGTTGAAGCCTTTCCTCCTGTCTCCCTCAGCAGAGGACAGGTCTCTCCTGTATATGTCTCTCCCAGCCCTGAGGAGTATCTCTACCTCGTGCCAGCAAGCTGCCTCTCTCCTCAGAAATTTGTTTGGAGTTGCCCTCTTCACCTGTGGAGAAACCTCATTCTTCCTCTCCTCCTCTCCTTTCAGCAGCTCTACTCTGCCTCTCCCTGGGTAGCCAGCAGGATTCCTCAGCTTGCCCGGGCTCTGCTGGAGGCCCCTTGTATTGGCTTCTCTGAGCCCTTGCTGTTTCCAGGAGCCATCTCAAATCAAACCTTACTCAAGGTGCTGAAACATTTTGACAATTGTTATGGTATGTCCTATTTCCAGCTTATACAGGAAGCAGACTTTGAAATCAAAGAAGAAAGCGATCCTGTTCTTCTTGTATTTCTGGCTGAGGCTGGAAGTTTGTCTCTTGTAAGTTCCTTGCATTGAGAGTCCAGCAATGCTTTGTCCTTAGGAGATTCCCATCTCAACCTGGAAGAGTTAAAGGTAACATCTTCACAGAAACACTGGAAATTCTGTGTGCAGCCCAAATGGATCTCAAAAGCTATAGCAGGAATTTGGATACAGCAAGTGATATGCCTGGTAACTAAAGGCAACTGAAGTTAAAAACACGTTTAATATTCAGGCAATGGCTTGCATGCAATGAGAGGCTGTTTCACAGAAGTTTTGATAACATCATCCTTCAAAACATCTTGCAGGTGATCCTACACTTCTGTCGTCAAATTCTTCAGCAAGCATTTTACAGAAACAATATGAATGCAGATGTCAGATTTGAATGGACTCAAGTTACAGTCTCACAGATCTAATGAATTTTCTAATTAAAATTAAAATTAATCCTCCTTTTAAAGATATAAATAGGTCATCCATTGATGATCTTTTTATTGGAAAATTGTAGTTTGGTGAGTAGGTACGATTTCCTTTGAGCAGATGCATGTAAGTACACAGTACTAATAATGCTTGGTGTTAAATGCCAAAAAAAAAAAAAAAGAAGAAGAAAAAGAAAAAAAAAAAATCTAGTCAAGAAGCCAAAAGTTGAAACATTAATAAAAATATCAAGTGATGCCTTTGAGGGCTTCACACTTCTAAAATGCATAGGAGCTGATTGCTAGCCAAATTTCCAGGCTCAAATTAAGAAAGTATTTGTAGATCTTTGGCTATCAAACATTTAACTAGCTAATAACCTCCAGTGAAACAGCTCTGGGCGTTGAATAAGTCTTGCTTTCTAGGTACAGAGCATGTGCCATCTTGTACATGTAAAAGTTACAAGATTAATGAAAAGTGAGCAATACTGTTTTAGCCAAAAAAAAACAGCAACCTCAAGAGAGATTATAAATGCAGTATTTGAATATGTTGTATTTCATATACACATTTATTTGATGCAAGATTATAGCTAGAATTGGCTTTTATTTTCTAAATCTTTTCACTGACAGATATAAATAAAATGCTTTTCCTTTAAGAGACAGTAGGCATGTGTAGATTCCCTTTTTGTTTAATTCTGCTGAACTGTAAGATGCTATGTAAGATCATAGATCTGCTATGTAAGATCAATTAGAAATGTTCAAATTCAAAACAGTTCCTAAACACAGACTTATCTTCCTCCTTATGTAGAATTAAAGCCTTATTCTGAATATCCAAAATCTGAACTCTTCTGTTTTTACTTGCATTCGTATTTACCTTCAAGGACCCCATCGCACCCCCTCACAATCTGATAATGCAATGGCAGTTTTTCTTGCTGCATTATGAACACTTTTTTTCTCATGGCATTACAGCAGCTAACGACTTAAAAGGCAATTGCAATTGTAGTCTGTGATATGGGAAAGACTACCAAAATCAGAAGGCTTTATGTTACTGGGCTGAAAAATCTCATAAAATTTTATCTGTCTAAACATATTTGAGCTACCAGTCATCTGTGGCAAGAGGTGCCTGCTCTTCTGGTTAAAGGAGCAATACAGCCTTTTTTATGTACACTCTCATACCTCATCAAAATTAGTACAATTGATACAGGAACTCTCACAGATCTATTAAGAGCATAAGCAGTGGAATTTTATTGAATTCTTTGTTCTGGTGACAGTAGAGTTGGGCACTGTTAAATGTTTCCAAAACTATTCATAACCAGTGGAGCAAAACTTTTGTCATGCTGTTATAAAGAAATACAGATAGGAAGTTTTGTATTTGTATATACAAATCAGAGGCTGTATGTAAGAAATGAATTATGGTGGTGAGCAGACCCAAAAACAGTCCCTTGATATACACAACATTTAATAGGATTACGATACAAATTGCTGGAAATGGATAACTGAGTCTGTGTTGGAGGGTTAGAAGTGGTCTTGTTTGAAGGGCAGATGTACTGTGCCATGAATGTGTCTCCTGCATTTGTAGAGGGAAAACTTGAAGGATGTCTCCAAGTTTTGAAGGGGCTCGTATATGGATGAAATCCTACATTTCTTCAGCATTTAATGTTTTTGTCTACAGAAATTTTTACATCAGTTGACAAAGCCCCTTCAGACCACCCTTGTCAGTCAGAATCCTAGTGTAGCCCCCTGTCCTGTTCAGTTCTCACGTCACATTTTTGTGTAAGAGTCTAAGAACATGCTGTGTTGGCCATGGGATTATTGGTCCTAGGTTTTGCAGAATTTCCCATGCATACTTTTAAAACAACAGCAGGGGATTATGAGAGCTGGCAGATACTGCAGACGTAACTTTCCATCAGCTGCAGCAGATTTTTAAAAGCATTTCCTTATTCAAATCTTCAATCAGTTCAGGGCTGGTGAAATGCAGTCCTTCGCGTTGTTTCCTGTCCTCAGTGTATTCTCTGGGTACAGTGACCTCAGTCCTTCTTGTTCTTTACCTGCCTACATCACCTGCCACTCCAGGTGATTTGCAGGGCTGCCGCTTGAGTCTGCTGCTCCTACATCCACCCGGCCTTTGGGAAGGCTTCGCAGAATCACAGAATCACAGAATGGTCAGGGTTGGAAGGGACCTCAAGGGTCATGAATCTCCAACCACCCAGAAGAATTTATGTTCATTATTCCACTGAAATGGAACCTATTCTTGAAAGATATTTTAACTTGCCAGCATTTCATTTCAAAAGAGCACATGGTTAAGAAGCTCTATCAGTATCAAAACATCATGTGTTATTATTTGAGGAACAGTGATGATGCCACTGTCGTTTTACTTTCCTTTTCTCTGTCCTTTACCTTCCTCTCAAACTTGACCTGACCTGGGATTAAACAATCAGAAATGTTGTCCTTGTAACTTATTTCTCTTACTAAAAGAGCACTAATAAGCTGACCTCAGCAAACAAAAGAAATGGTTGGAGGGGCAAAAGGTGAACAGTGGTATACATGTGATCTTTACTCATTCATTTATACACATACTCTGCTTGCAGCACAATTGGCCACACATCAACGAGACAGAAGTTTTCTTTTCTCTCCACTCACTTCCCTACTCTGTTTACCTAAGCAGCAGGAGTCATCTTAGCAGTTGGTAGTGAGATAAGATACAGAATCTAATTCGTCTTCTTGTCCCTCAGGAAAGACTACTGGCAGTTTTTGAATAAATGTCTTACTCCAGCCAAGATACTCTGAATGTAAATTTGGGAAGAAGAATTTCTCCAAATAATTGCAATTTAAATGCTGAATACCAAGTATATTTATTTTCTTAGCTTTTTTTGCTGATGTGAGTTGAATACATGCTTTAAGAAATTTCTTTTTCTGTGGTTGCTATGGTAAAAAGCAGGCCCCAGTCCTTTTACTTAAAACCCATGAACTGCAATTAACTGTTTAATGTTGTAACGTACAACAGCTCTAGTAACACCTTAACAGCTTTAAGCACGATACTCCATCATCTCAGCAGATGGTGATTTTTGGCATTCTGTGTTTTCAGCTTGTTCTTCTCCCTTATTATCCTTGCCATTATATCTTTTGAAAAATGCTCCTGGACTAACTTAATTGCAGTTTATATTAGACTGAGGCACACCTTGGATCTTTCTGTATTTTCATTAAAGATGACCAATAAATGAACAAAAAAAAACAAAAAAACAAAAAAAAAAAAGAAGTTGTATGTGAATCCTTGGCAGTAGTTATAAAAGCCAATTTTAAAGTACATTAAGAGTCTGTTTCTTCTCATCCGCAACCATAAAAGTACAGTCTTGAAATACCCTCTGTATTCTGTAGGAGCCCTACACATCAACAGCTGAGGAAACATAATTGATTCTTTTGTGAAGAAAGAGCCACCCTGAATGTTTCTCAAGAGTCTGAATTAAATGAGAGTTACCAAATACAACTGTTTTAATAAGGGGAGTTGCCCTTTATTATTATTTCTGTGGAGCTGGAGATGAAATTCCCCATGAATTTTGCTCATTGTTTTGAAGATTTATGGCTTGCATAAATCTGTTTTAATATGGAGATTTAACCATATTTAGAAAAAAATTGACAACGTCCAGACATTATTAAAATTGCTTTTAAATTGCACTCTTTTTCCCATATTTGTATTCAATTTCTACCATATATTCTTTTTTTTTTTTTTCTTCTTTTTTTCCAGATAGAAATGTATTCTTTGGTTTTAAAATCAGAAATGTTCTTCATTTTGCTCCTTGAAGGGATTTTGCATATTAAGCAGTCAAGGTACTCCAGGTGTAGATATTGTCTTACATTCTGCAATACAGGACCAAATAAAGGCTTTGTGTTTTTTGATACTTTCAGCAACAGCAGCATTTCATCCTATTGAGGGAAAGAAAACAATGCAGAAAAAGGAAAAAGAACAGTTTTCCCAGAGTCATGGTGTGATAATTTTGCAGCTTCAGGTTTTAAAATATGAATGTCTCCTTCACAGCTCTTTCCTGGCTGACTCCAGGTTTCTATGATTGTTATTTATTCAGTGCTGATAGTATGTCTGACATTGTGCAAATATAGAAAGAGATATTCATGTGGACTCTCTGCCAGGATTTCCTAGTTGTCAGTGGCAGTGTTAGCCTCTTTAAGCAAAAGCTTGAAGCTGTTTTTAAGATGGAGATGTGTAACCATCCCTCCAACATGCAGCTATGGGAAACACTGCTCAGCTGCACCAGCAAAGCCTTCGGAGAATGGACCCAGTGGCGTTTAATTAAGGTAGGACAACAGCAGCATGTGATAGCTCTGACTGATGAAATCTCTAACAAGAGACAGTCTGGATAGTTTCAAAAGCTGGAATTGTTTCATGGAAAGGTAACTGGGAGAATCAATCCTCCTGAATTAACACCTAAAGAATCGAACAAAGACTGTTTGCCTGAGTGCTTCATGCCTCCTTTTTAAAGCTGGTGTATTCTGTGAAGTCCATAAACTTCCTTATAAGTTATCTGTATGTTCTACTAACAGCCCATGTCCTTAGTTCACCCTCACAGTGATGTTGGTGCCCCTCAGATTGTTACTGCTTCTGGCTTTGCCAGAGTCAGTATCTTCCCAATGATAGCAGTGGAAGACTTCATCAGGAACGAGTACCTCATGTTGACCAAAAAAACCCTCAGAAAATCCAAATCCACAACCCAAAAAGCACACACATTCATTGGGGCAATGCATTCATTAGGGCAACACAAATCACATATAGGAGTCAGTATCAAAAAACTCTTCCAGAAACGAATATTTTACAGAAGCAGCCAAAAAGGTTCATTAAAAATACACAAACCTTCGAGGTTCTGAAAGCTGAAGTCAAATGTATTGAGCTCAATCCAAAGCTATGAAGAAAATTAAAGAGTGACATATCAAATCTAATGAATAAATTGCAGATCCTGAGTTAGTCAGACTTCTTTTGTTTTCTCTCTTTTTTTTTTTCCCTCAAGGAAAAGAGAGCCCTCACATTTCTTTGCACTCCAAAAAGGCTTCCCTCTGCTTATAAGCAATTTGTACATGGAACAAGATGTCTGGTTTACACTCAGAAGAAAAGTTTAATTAATTCTCATTTTACAAATCCTCCACAATATTTATTCAGAAGATTGGCAAATTCCAGAAAGTTCACCCATCCCTGAAGGAGAAGTTTTGTAAACAAATCTGGCAACAAATTTGTATTAACAGCAGCAGCCCTGCTAATCTGTCAAGACGTAGTTTGTTTCTGACACTCGATTAAATTCTTTTTTGCTTAAGAATAGAAAGAAATTTGCTACAAAGAAGCCATTTAGCCAGGACACCGTGAGTGCCCCTCTGAAACTTCACAGGGCATTTTCTTCATTTCAGCAGAAAACTAGTAATAATATACTTAGCACAATTCTTTTTTTCCTTTTTCCAAAACAGAAGCAAGGCTGAATTCCTGTATTCACAAAAGAGCAACAATGTTAGAGATTCAAGGTCTGTAAACCCCATTTACGGAATATCCCGCGATCTAGACCAGCATTAATCCACATCCTCTGCACACAAATGAAGGAAGTCTTTCAGGCTGTGGTTCCACAGGCACTTTCTTGCCCGGACCCTCCATGTCCTGGCCACTCCTTCCTGGACACGTCATCCTCAGTTCTTATCCAGAATCAATTCACAGATCCAGTTTCCCGGGTCTCAGCTAGAGATGGTTAGAAAAATCTGCCATTAGTGTCAGCTGAGACAAAAGATACATGTATGGACATTACTGCTCTTTACCACTTTGAACCAGCTGGACCGCCTGGTGTGTGAACATTTTGGGCATCAGTTTCTTCATTCTAAAAAAGATGTGGTATTTCATCTCACTGCTTCCTCTTAGGATGGGAAAATAATTTGTGAATTTATTTTATGTCATAGCTTTCATAAAGCTGTGTGTAGCCTGGGGGAGAGGCTCAGCTGGTGCAAATGTCAGCAGAGCCACAACAGCTCACACCAGTGAGGAAGCTGTCCAACCTTCCTGCCACATCCCCAGCTTCTTCAAACCTAAAAGATCCAGATCCCAATGAAATCAGTGAGAGCTTTCTGTGCTGGATCCAGCTCTGCTGCACAGCCACTTAAGTACAGCACTTAAGATACTGGGCTAATGTTAGTAATCTTCTTCTGCCTACTACGACACCCAGACTGCCTGAGCTAGCCTTTGTCTCAGGAAAAAAACTAAGGAAATTGGCTGGTTTTG